AATTCACCTGAATAAATGTGGTGTAATTTGTATGTCAGTAAACATCATTTTTGTGGGAGGGGATCTTGTTACACCACAGTAGCTATATGATGCTGTTGTTCGATTATTGATCTCAATTAGTTATGATGCATAATTCTCCTGTTTCTTTCAACATTTGCTTTGTAACTGATACTTGATGTTAAGAAAATAGATGGTATTCATAGATGAATTTAATAATGTAAAAATTCTGGTGGCAAAGGTTATAAAAGTGAGATTCTAAGCTCTGATAATGCTCACAAGGTACTATTGTTTAAGTGTAGCATTTTTAACTTGCTATTTGTGAATTTTAAAAGTTGAGATATTTTGCTTTGTTAAAACTCAGTTCTGTTTATATCTAATCATGTTTTCCCGTATGATAATTTATGGCCTTGTAATTTGTTTACGGTTGATTATTCAAGTTGTGTGTTCCAAGTTGCTAATCCTGTATCCAAAGCAAGCAAACCTGATACTAAAACCGTTACTGTCCAAGATTATTGAATTTTTTTTCGTTTCTCTACAGTCCCCTCCACGAGAAGGAAGCCAAGGTGAACTAAATTCTGCAAACAGTCAAACTCGAATGAGCACCAATATGTAAAGAAATAAAGACCCTGTTAAAGAAAAACCAGCGCTGTGTGCTTTGCCTTCCACAGTTCTGTCAACAAAGAACTGCTTTTTGGCTTTAAAGAAATTGAAACAATTGTACAAGTGAACCTCTATCCTGCTGTTTTTGGGGGCACGACGAAAGTTTTGTTGTTTAAGTTGAACATAAGATCCTTTGGATTAAAGAGGAAGATGAACTCTGTACCACAGGATCCAAATATTTACTTAAAAACATTTTTAATTATTTTCAGGATCCTAGTTGTGATCTGTGGGAGAGAGCTCTGAACAGTCGAGTGGCAAGGTTTTAGTTTCTACAAAACTGTGAAAAGCGTGCTGGAATAATAAATGGAGGATTTTGTACCAGTGAATGCATTACTGTTAGTTCATGAGTAGTAAAGGCCCATGACTGTGGAATGGAGTGAAAATGAATGGGGTATGGGAGCCTCTCGCACAAGTAATGTAAAAGCAGTGACTATCATTGGTGCGATATTCTATTCATTCCAGAGGCATTGTTGAAAAGTAGTTTTAAAAGAATTGTTACGATGGTGTAAAGTAGTCATTATGTTGAATTTTACTAAGAAGTTCCATTGATTTTTCACCATTTTAAAATTATTTTCCACTGCACATTTTTTTTCCTTCGGCCAAGGTGGGGGATGCAATTGTGTCATAAACTCTTGCAGTTGACATCAGTGCTGTTTTAAATTGGTTAATGAAATGCATGATTCTCTGGGTAGACCTGGAGGTGTGATTCCTCTTTTATTCCCCATTTGCCGAGCAGTGTTTTATAAGTGAGAATTGATGCAATTCTTTAATAAAAGATACAAAGTTTGAAATTCAGTCAGGATAGAAATTCAAATATGCAACAATACATTATTCCAGTAAGCAACTGCTTAAAACATCAGGGCCATCCTGAACCACCCATTTCAATTTTACTAGTTATCAATTTGCAAAGCTTTTCAACAATGCCAATGGAATGAAAAGTTCCCTTTCATCTTTATTCTAAATGTTATTGACTGGTGTCTCAAATTTTCCCATGAAACTGTATGATGTCATAGTTGATGATCAGTAATTGGTTGTTAGATTGCTGCAGTAATTGTTGGCTCAATCTTACGAGTATTAAAAAAAAAATTACAAGATTAGTATGAATTCTCCATTAGTTTAAACTTTAATGCTCAATGTATGATACAAGTTCTTCAATTCTGGCATCACTCCCAAGCAACATTCAAAATAAAAGTATGGTTTATTTTATTTAATAAAAGGAAATTTAATTACAAATTTGCAGTAGTAGTAAAACACAAAAATAGAAATATAGAGAATATATAGAGAGGATGTCTTACCATTATCAGTGAATTACAGGGTCTTTTTAAACAAGTATGAAAGGTAGAAACATGGGAGTACAGATAGGACTTGTTACTTTAACACACTTGAACCCTTGGGACTCACTGTTATTGGTGAGAAATTTGGTTTCTTCTTTGGGTGTGCATTGCCTTGTGGAATTTCAAGTTCTTCAAAATGCACCTGAAGCACTACATTTGTGAGTTAGATTTCAGTTTTGACCTCTGCAAATTATCTTTGGAACACACCCAAAGAATAAACACATCACCAGCAAAGAGGAAAGCTGTGTCTCTTGACCTTTTAACTGTTCTGTTTACGGGCAATACGGTAACTAGTTTCACATTTTTGTTCCTGTATGTTCCTTTTTAATTGTACAAACTATGTGATGAGGACTGACTTATTGTCATGTCAGAATAAAAATGACATTTCTTGTTACAGCTGTAATACAATGCACATCAACAATACAATGTTTTCCATACCAATTTAGAGTCAAATTTTGTAATTATATGAAAAACATTAGCTAGGCCTCCATAGCTATTTAATGTTTTAAGTGACTGAAGAAGTTATCTGAAGTTGAGCTTATTTGCCATTTAAAACTGGAAAAAGCACAAATAATTGCCATTCTTTATCTATTATCTTTGTGTCTACTCAGTTATCCTGTGCAGTTAATGTTCCTGGGACTGAGTGGCAGTCTACATATTGTTTCACTTTCCTCCTTCATTGTTGGGGTGTAGATTATGAAATCCTTATCAAGTGTCTGGGAAAAATGGGTAGTGACATCCCACCTTTTGGACCTGGCTTTGACCCTATCTCAGATAAGAAATAAATTTATCTTTTCTCACACTTTCTTTCAGCCAAATTGCAGCTATGTCAGGTTGCATGGTGCTGTGTAATGTAAATGGCATGAAGTAAATTGATAAAGTAGAATTTTAGCCCATGCAACCCAAATTTTAATCTCTGCTTTGCTTTGATTTGATCTTTGGCAGAAGAAATTGTTCACTGCACGGAGGTCAAACTAGTTGCTGTACACATTGGCTTTTCAATGAATGGTTTGAAGAGATGAGCAGAAAAATATTGCCAGAACTTATGATTGTTCCTTTTCAAGACGTGCTTTCTGGCAAATGTTAATTTTTGCTGACAACACAAACTTCTAATTGGCAACTAATCAGGAAAGAACAGTGTTACTTAAGGCTTTTCTCATAGCTACTAAAATCGGCCTTTTTGTGGAAACTTAACATAGGAACTTCCGGTATTTGGTACGGTTTTGGTTATATTTCTTATACATTAGTGCACGGTATTTAAAATGTATGAGTGTTTACAATGGGATTATTTTGATTTTGTTTTAAAAAGGATCAAACAAATATAAAGCCACATTTACCTCAACATCGCGTGTTCATCCTTTGTCCCTGTTTTTCCATTATAAAAACCTATAGGTATTACAGTATACATGTTTTCCAGATTTGGACTCAGTCTTCCCTTTATGGAATGTAGTGGGGCACCCGTGTGCATGTGAAAACAATTTCAGTGAGCCATTCGCATAGAAGGGATAGGATTACAATAACAGATTTCTTTTCATAGGATGATGACTACAGTTGAGTAAACACACAATCAGTAAATCCAAAACATTGTTTTCTGGTTATAATAATCCTGCATATTTTTTATTTTAAAGTTGTAATTTTAAAATACCAACTCAAACGATAAATATTGGTAGTCTTTGTTTTTGTGACTATTGCAGAAAAGTTGAACTTTATCTTTCATTTCAGTGTAAAACAAAAATTTGTGCATTCTAAAATCTTGCGAATATTTGACTGAATTTCCTGATCGATATTGATATGTGAATGAAAACATAGCAAATTGATATTTAATGGACTGACCAAATAAATATGGCTGGGAACTAATTGGCCCAGTTTAAAAAAATTAACATGCTATCCTCTTACACTAATTAATGACCCACCCTTCAAAAGGAATAAATCTCTCAGTTTGGTGAGTCTAATTGTTTACAAGTCAAATAAGATAGGCTATAATGGTTAGAATTAATGCAGCTGTATATGAGGAAAAGCTTTTTCACGTAGCCAGTTGTTGAGGTCTAGAATGCGCTGTGTACGTGTCTAGTAAAGGCAGGTTCAATCAACATGAAATAGTTATTTGAAAAGGAAGAATTTGCAGAAGGAAAGCAGGAGGATGACGGTAGGTGAGATGCTCATTTGAAGAGCTGTCATTGACACACTGGGCTGAATGGCCTCCTTCTGCATTATAACAATTCTGTGATTCTGCATCCTATTAAGACTAATTCAGAACTATGTTGTTGCATTACAGGATATCCCACTTGACTTTGTTTTCAAATCTTTACATGTTTTGCCATGTTTACTTTTTCGTATTGTTATAGTTTTTATGTGACCTGTTTTTGGCGATGTAGGGTAGGAAAGCAACAAATACATAAACGTTTATCACTAGTGAAGGGTGAATGGAAGCTTCAGAACAGATTTCATTCTGGTACTATTTATGTTGCTTTTGGGAGTTGGATGAAATAAACAGAATTCT